GAGTTTTTGAATTTTTGTGTTCAGGTGGAAGAATATTTTCTTCAAAAAGTTCTTTGGAAAAAAGTTCACTTCGCAATGCCTTTCGTTTTCCAAGAGAAGTTGTATTATCGGAATTAGTAAGGTCAATAATTTCACTCATTATTTAATTCGTACGTTATAGATTAAGTCGCGTAACGTAAAACAAATTGTTGCATTGCGTATCATTATATCATTTAAATCACGTCACCTGATCATTCGGGTCACCCGGGTCAAGCAAAATCGAGACCCTAACCCGGCGGGTTTTAAGAAATCAGGACTCGTGACATAAAATGATAGTACCGACTCGAATTTTTTCTCGAGTCGGGTCGAATGACCCGGGTCGATTCGACCGGCTCGGAGCACTAGTTATAAATTGAAAATTTTCAAGTTGATTACAAGTCAATAAAATTTATAAAATAAAAATTAAAAAGTTTATTGCCTTTTTGAATCATAATAATTCATAAAATAATACATTTGTTACTAGCAATTTAGAACCTTTTTATTCAAAAATCTGCCATCGCCATAAAGGCGTGTCATTTTTTTATTTTTACCGAAAGGGAAATTAATAGTACATCCGAGTTTATCTGCTACGATAGATTATTTCAATAAAGTTGCACTAAATGTTGTAATATTTTTATTGATGAAAAGGCCGATTAGAAACTATTTATTAAATATCTACAAAATTTCACCCCATTTTTGGCTAATCAATTTCACTGATCTTGAATTAAACTAAACTAAAAAAATCAAAAGGAGAAACAATGAGATTAATCATCAATAATTTAACGAAATTAAGAAAGAAAATGCTACACGACAAATGTTCTATTTTTTTTTTATGTTAAATAAATTAAACTAAAAAAATCAAAAGGAGAAACAATCAGATTGATTATCAAAAATTTAACGGAATTAAAAAAGAAAATGCTACACGATAAAAGTTTCTATTTTTTTTATGTAAAATAAATTAAACTAAAAAAATCAAAAGGAGAAACAATCAGATTTATCATCAATAATTTAACGGAATTAAGAAAGAAAATTCTATTCTATTTTTTTTTTACGTTAATTTTTACGTCAAATAAAGATTAATGTAATGGATTTTAAATAATAAAAATGAAAGTTTTTCCAGAGGTTTATAAGAATCATCGTTAAACCTTACATGCGCTCTTGTAAATGAATTCACAAGTTACTACTTGATGGAACGCCAATGTTTGATATTCTAACATTAAAATGTCCAATTAGCAGAAAAGGGAACGCCTTTTGTGTAACAAATAATGCTTTATATTTTGGGTGTTTTTTTATTTTTTTCCATAGCTATGGAACATATGGAATCTGTAGAAGTACAATTAAAAGAACTTCAAAGTTTTTTAAATGATGAAATTATTAAAGATTTCAGAAAGAGTTTTAAAGAACTTAGCGAGATGTCAAAGAATTTTGAAAATTATCAAAATATCGTTAATTACGACACTAAGTTACGTCAAGTATTTGATGGCTTAATCAACGAGAAATTAATTAAAAATTCTCAGGAACTTAAGAATCCAGATAATAGTCAGCAATTTTTTTCTTCTTTGAGAATTTTAAAATTTTTAGCCAAAAAGATAGCTTATCTAAAAAGAATAGATATCATACAGGATGTCTTGAACTCACCTCATAAAAAGAATATCTTGTTTTATAATGCTCTGACAAAAGAAGAAATTAACAAACGCTACCGAAATCTCGTGTTGAATTTCCATCCCGATAAAACGAATCGACCTGAAAGTCGTTGTGCTCTTCTAGATGAGCATAAAGACCTAGGTGCTGAGCTATTTGGATGCATTACAGAGATTAAGGAAAGCTTATTGGCCACTTACGAGAAAATCATAAACAATGAAGGTTGGAAGTTTCATAAAAATAATGCAGACGATCTTTGGAAAATAGCTATAGACTACCGTAATGCGGCTAAAGGACAATGGAATAAATTAAAATCACTAAAAAAAGATAACATCGGTGGACTTTCTTCTGAATATCTGGAGCTTAATAGCGTAAACTATGGATTGCAAGCCTATCAGGAATACAGAGCGGCATGTAAAATTGTTGATAAAGCTAAACAACTACGAGAACGAGTAAGGTTACGTGGAAGTATTGCGTTATGCTTATACGTTTCAAAGCGACATTTAGAGGCCCAGTTATATGCATTGTCAGCAATTAAGTTACAACTTAAGGATTCTTATGAAGTCACAATAAATGATTGTAACGAGGCAAAAAAGATATTTGATAAAGTTAGAGATATGAATGTTACCGAGAAAACGCCTGAGTTAAAAACCGAGATCAATCTGAATGTTAATTTTGATTACTCGCAGGCTGTAGTAAAAAGAGTGGATCAAGAGATATCTTTTTCTGAAAAATCATCTTATCAACGGTCAATTGATGATGATATGCTAAAAATAAGTGCTGATTTAATGCTCAAAGCGGACAGCAGCTTAGTTTGTTATCAAATACCTAAAGAAGATATCTTGCAAGCCAAGTACCAATCATGGCGTAAAACTAGAGTAGGCGGAATTATAGTAACTGGAGTAGGTATAACTGCAACTGCTACTGCAAAAGTTATCCATGACACTGTCGTTTTGTTAGGAGTTTGTACAGTCGGTAGTACAATCTGTATCCCTTTCTGTTTGGCAACTGGATTAATTACCTTGGGTTTAGGAATATGGGGTGGTACAAGCTTATGGAAAAAGGACCTAATGAAAGATCCAAAAACTCTCGAAAATCTCAATGATATAATGAAGAGCGCACTAAAAGCTTATAATAAGGGCGATTATCAGCAGTTTATCAATGAACTTTCTAAAAATTATAAAACCGATACCAGTCTTCTTACATTAAGGAATCGTTCTGATGATAGTTACCCTAAAGTAATCGTAAACACGCTTTTAAGCTATGGTTTTAGATCGGATGGTTTGCATATCTATTAATTTTGCTTGGCGAGGTCTTGAGCAGCGGGAAAATTAATATTAAAGGAAAAGTATCGAAGGATTTAGTGTCACTAGCAAAGAAAATTCTTGTTGATGTAAATTATGAAAAACTTGATGAGGAGGCCGAAATTCTCGATGGCCGCATTCGTGATTTGCGATCAAACAACATTTTTAATATTGTACTCAACCAAGTTGCCGATTTTATTTCTCTTAAAGGGTATAGCAACATAGCTAAGGAACATAAGGATGACGCTAAAAGGATGCCCTTTAAATTAAGGCTGAAAGAAATGCGTAATATTGCAGACCTTAACCTAGCAATTTTTGATATAATTGACGGTGGTGAAGAAGAACTTGAACGAGCTAAAAAAACTATTGAGGAAATACGTGATAAAAATTATGATGATAAGAATTATGATTATGGTTTTGTTGAATTGCGTTTAGAAGTTTTGGAGGATTTTTTAATGATCGTCTGTGGTGTAGAATTACCTCTAAGAATCGCTTCAATTGCCTAAAATCACTTTTCCTATGAAATCTGAAATTAAAGGTTTTTGATAATAAATCTTCATTGTCAATTTGGACTTTATTTCTGTGAATTTTCTCATATTTTTATGTGGCGAAATTCTTTTGATTGTAGTTACAGAAGTATTGTATGGTATATTTTTTAATAGCTTAAATAAAATACTTTGTTTGGTTTGAAGCATTGCAAGGTGTAAAATCGAAATTTAAAAAACAAGCTCTCTTCTTGAATTTGTCGCGCCTTGTAATATTTTTATTTTTCTAGTCTAAATAAGTATAAATGACTTTATTTACATTATAATTTTTTTTTTGAATTTTAGCCTCTGATTTTCGATAATAAAATCAAGAATTTTACAGATTTCAAAAATGTTGTATTAAAATGTATCCGAAAGGAATTATATTGTGAGGATATTGTAAATTACTATTAAAGGTTTTGACGAGTTTATCGAAGTTATTTCGATTTTTCCACCTGTCGAAATCTCGATGTTTTAGCCTGGCAACTTTAAATTTCAATTTCGCGAACGATAGGTTGCCGCTTTAGGCAAAGATCCCTGCTATATATTATTGATACCCTCAAAAAGAATTTTCATCTGATTTTTTTACGCAGCATACTGTATTTTAATGTTTCGAATTTACAAAAAAATGAGTCGTTTGTTAAAAATGTTTCTAAAATTCAACTTTTCAAGGAACAAAACCAGCTTTTCAAGTGATGTGTAGCCAAGTATATGAACCAATGATCACTCGAACATATTAACTCAATAATCCTAAGTGAAAGGAACAATATATATGTCGATCATGTAAAGTAAGTCTAAGTTTGAATCGTAGAGTTTGCCGATAAGTAGAATGAAATGGGATGATATGAAATAGGCATGTTATAAAATGAAGGAAACTTTGTAAATGATTTCAGGAAAAGCTATAAATGGAGAAAATACGACGTTAATATACTCGTCATGTGTTTTCGTTCTGCATATTTGATTAATAATGTCTAGAAAGTTACTTGCATCATTGTCTTAATCTTATGCAGACCTGTGATTCCATTCGCTTTGTTAGTCCTAAAATATTATAATTATTTACAGTATATGGGTTAGGATTTTAAAAATATTTAGAAAATGAAAATACTTTGAACATTTTTTTGGAATTTATGTTGTTTTTAATTTTCTGGATTAAATTATCATCATAACGAGTATTCATTTATGTTTTAGATTGTAATTCTAATAAATTTAAATTTTCGATTTTTTAATAATATTCACAAGAATTCTGCTGCATTGCATTTTTATTCATATCTTAACTTCGTTATATTATTTAATTTGCTTTTAATTACAGATATTAGCAATTTTACATATTATTAGCCAATTTCAAATTTTCATATATTTCTTGACGGTTTTTCACGTATATTTAGTTCAATAATCTCAGTGATAAATTAGCATTGCAAATAAATTTCGAGTTATTAGTTTGGAAAGATCACCTAAAAATTTATTTCCAAAAATTAATCTTAGATTAATCAGAGATAAAATAAGATTCCGGGATTAAAGAATTGTCAGCTCGATAGTTGATGTTCAATACTATGATCGTAATTATGCATTAAAAATAGTTCTTTTTTTAATAGTATTGATTTAACTTTCAAGAATTTAATAATTACGTTTACAGTTCAATTAGCGAGATTTATAATAATCAAGTCATGAACATAGATTTTAGTTTAATATGCTAAGTTGTCAACGCAATTCCATATATACTTCATAAAATGAAATGAAGAACATTTGATTTATATAATTCTCCACAAGGATCAATATAGTCCTGATTCTAACAAATGTTTTTAAATGTTTCCTAAACGATTCACATCAAGAGATTATTAGTTAGCATCAACATTTCCGTAAAAAATTCGTCATTGAGGTATAGATTTTGAAATAAGGTTTAATATTATAGGCTGTGAAGAGGCCACTGTTTAGAGTATGGCCAGGTAGTGCTACGTTTGCTGCGTTTCCTTGATAATTTTACGAGGCTATTTTTAGTATGAGTAATTTTTTTTCATTTACATTGATAATAATTTTTATCATAAAGTAGAAAATACGTTTATTAATGATTTTTATTTAATATATAATTTTTTTTATTCAAGAAGAAAATGTTAATTTTACGTAACCACAGTCACTTTTCCAAATATAAAATTCATTTATAGAAATAATAAAACCAACGATAAATTATATCTATTATATAAGAGTACAGCAGTTGATGAAGGAAATAATAAGAAAGCCAGTGAATTACTTGGATAGTTTAAGAGGAAAATAATAGGTTATTTCCAATAATGATTAACACAATTTATACCGCTAGAATTTTTTTTTTTGGAAATTGGATATTATTCGATTACACTTGGGTTCAAATCAACTCAAAATTTAATAATAATATAATCATTTAACAATGTTTATTAGAAATATACGGTTTTATTTAAAAGGTATATTCGATGGATGTTAATTATAATAAAGGAAATGACAACCATCACAAATTCTTATATTACGGTATGTCTTTGTTAATGCTTGTTTACAAATACTTGTACAGTTTTTCAAAATGAAAAATCAATGTTTTACAAAATGTATTGAAGAAGTTTTCATTCTTTCAACTATTCAATTATTAAATAGATTCATCATACTTGTAATTACGACTTCAAATTATTATGAAAAGGACGTGTATAATGTCACCTCCTTATCTGGATAGAAAAAGGAGTTTATTTAATAAAATACAACAAATCCAACTATTATTGCCTAAGCCGACGCTCTGTAAAAAGTTTATGAGAAGAGACTATAACTAATTCTATTCAATGGAAAAACAAAGCAAAACGAAGTCTATTTATAATGAACTTTTACTTCCAAAGTTCAACCACGGCATTCTTTAAAAATTAATGCTAATAGACGGGAGATATCTTATGAACCGTAATGTAGTAATAATTTAGAAATAATAAAAATTTTTACTTTATATATATTTCCGACTAATGCTAACATGATTTATAAAAAGGATCAAAAAGAATTTAGTTAATAATATGGTTTTAGATCATTTGGGAAAAGTCAACTTTACAAACATGAATTTGTACAATTCGGCGAATATTTTTCCGTCTATCTAATTTTTGGTCATCTTTATTGAAAAATCCTTATTGAAATTACAGTTAAAGAAAAATAATAAATGTAAATAACCATGAAAATGAAGTTAATATCCTAATAGAATCTGAATTCAACAAACTAAATATCTCGGAATATAATAAATGTTTCTATTGGTATAAACCTTTTACAGAGAAATTGTGGTGTAAAGATGGACTAGTGGAAATTCTGAGATTGATAATTTCATCAAAGATACTATGTACGGGGGTAAGAATTTATAGTTGTCAAAAATATCTTGAATGGGTTACTTTTGATAGATTCAAAGATATGAAAGTGTTTTCTGCAACATGGATGATGGTAAATCGGAATTTGAAAAGCAAGCATTATGGAAGTTGGTTAAAATTAAATTCTGATTCTACGAAAGTTGCTTTGAAAAGGTTAATTGGATCAGAAAATATGTCAGCCAAATATTTTAATGAGGTAATTTTTCATTTACATTTGATTTTATTAAATAGATATTTCTACTTTTCTTAAATTTTTATTGAAAAAACTAGTTTAAAACACATTGGGATTTTTTTTATGAAATAGGATTTTATGGAATAACTAAGGATCCAGAGACCAAAAAAATTTATAATGTTCGTAAAGTTTTTACCTGATGGAAATTTGAGAAATTGTCTTGCAAATAATTTTAACAATATAAAAATTATTAAATTATTTGATATTACTCTTGACCTTAAGCAACTTACATATGTTTAGAATATTATCATAATGATATTCATAGTGGAAATATTTTACAAGATGAAAGATATATATCAGATTTTGGATTGACAGGACCAGCAGATAAGCAAAAATCGGATGACAAAATATATGGAGTATTACCATATATTGCTCCAGAAGTCTTAAATAGAGAACCATATCTGATATCTGAATTATCATCTGGAAACCCTCCTTTTTATAATAGGAAACATAAATTATAAATTATCATTAGATATTTGTAATGGACTTCGTCCTGAATTTGGAAAAGGAACTTCTGATTTTTATAAGAAATTAGCTTATAGTTGTATGAATGCAAATCCAAATCAAAGACCAACGAGCGATGAATTGTACGATATATTGGTTTTTTGGTATAAAACTACTAATATTTATGAGAAATATAAAAATACCAAAAAAATATGGATATTATGGAAAAAAAATAAGTATTTGAAGAAGCTGATAAAGTATACCGAATATTATAATTTCACGTAAAACAAATCCTGATCTTGTATATACAAGTAGAGCATTAGCATTTATAAATCTGTCTTTTATTTCTTCCTATCTTGAAAAGGACAATAATGAAGGTGAATTATATTAAATATAATATTTGCGGTATTTAGGGCAGTTACTAATTTCGTTTCATTAAATTTCAAGATTCTAAATTAGTGAAACTCCATAGCTCATTGCAATTATGTCGTAAGTAATGACGATAATCATAATTTCATTTACTTTTAAATAATCTAATGTTGATTAGACATCAATAAATTAAAGAAATTAAAGGAAGGTTTTTATATTTCCACATTTAAATTAAATATTGCTAATGAGAAACTATATGGCGTATCAAATATAAGTTCGGTCATAAAGATTGGCGGCCAACAATTTAGTTCACGCGCAAAGTTTTCCTATTATTAATATTGAAGTATAAATTTTAAAGATTATCGTAGGTTTTCTTTAGAAATTTCACAAGACTTAGATTAAACATCTGATGTTTTATTTAAAAGATTCTTTAAATAATTTGTCATGAAGTGGTTTACAGTATTAATCAGGTCTTTCATATAGAGACAAATCAGATTAAAGATTTAATATAACAGTAATAAAATATAACAGCAATAATAGTAATACATTATTCTATAAAAAGTTACGGATAACTAGGATCACATGCGTTTAAACGAGTGTGATCATTATATAACACCCATTTATCCGATCCGTAATTTTATATGGAATCTCAATGTATGACGTTACTAGTGTGTAATAATTAACACTTACTCTAGATATGCTTTTACTCTTTTTATCCTTTTATGCTTTTTTGTAGAAAAAATCAAACATTTTTTTTCAAATAATTTGTCTAAGTGAATTTAAAAGTTAATAAACGAATATATTGAATAATAAAAAGCATATTAATTCTTAATTATCATAAATAAAAGAATACATCAACTTCGAGCGAGAAAATGACATAAATAACGAATAAAAATTTTTTAATTCATTTTTATTTCATTTTTCATTTCAATTATTACATTTATGAAATTATATAAATGACAATATAACACAACAATATCAAAGAAAAAAAGAGAAGTTCCGAGTTGTATATATAAGGACAAACAAAATTTCTAGTTATTTCTTGTAAAGTTATTACTAAACTAAATTTTAAAAAATATTTTCTATATCGATTTTCGTATTTATAATACTTTATTAATATTTATTATAAACCAATGAAGTAAATTGATATTCACATAATACCTATGGGATTTCTTTATTTAAAAATGACATCTTTAAGATTTGTGAATAGGCATTATTTTTTTTTTTTGGAAAAGTAGTACATTATAGATTAAGCATATGATATGCCTTTATTAACGAAGTTGCGAAGAAAATTTTGTAAAATATTAAAAAAATCAGGATTTAAGATAGAAATCTTTTTTTAAAAAAAAAAATAAATGTAATAAAATTGTAAAATGATTTACTAGTAAGTGTATATAAAACTTCGTAACTTATTTTAAGAAATAAAAATATTTGAGAAATTAGAATCTAATCTGAGCATCTAAAAAAGTTACGTTATTGACTCAATAATAATAATAATTATGTAAAATTTAGAAAGCTGTTATGGTTGTACCCCATCACATTATAATAACCTATTACATTTCAAATCTCCGGATTATGACAGCTTTATGAGTCGTTCAATTTTTAGTTATAACTTTCTACAAAATGGTCGTTCCAACTTTTATTGTAACGATTTCTATCAAAATTTCAACCAAGCAAATATGAGCTTTGAAATTAAAAAATCGAAGTCATCACGCGTAGAAAATTATTGAGTTTCCTGTTGATGATTTTATTAACTTTTTTGATCAATACAAAAGAAGACTTTCATGTAATAAATCAATACTAACATACGTGTCAAAAAGATTATAATATATATGACTCAAATAATACAATATTATTAATGATTGTCAAGGTGATTCTCCAAAAATTGTCAATGTATTTGAGATGATTAAACAAAATCTAGATGGCTTATAATTATTATATTCATATATATCAGTATTTCATTTGTGAAGTTAGCTATCTTGTGATTTTTTCAAGGCAAAACATTGCTTTATGATAATTTAACACAATGTCTAATTCATTGCTGAATTAGTAAATATCACATGTATATTTATAAAGAATCAACCTCTTCAACTAGTTCTTAAGCCGAGAAAGATAATAAGACATATTTTAAAATATGAATTGGTTAAAGAAAGTTTGAAAGCATTTTATTTGGAATCGATTCGTAATGAGCGTGAAAAAATGTTCTATGTAAAGTACGTTCCTTATAATTATTGTAATCAGATAATATTTGTAATATAAATAATGCTTTATTTAGATGAATACCAAGTTGAAGATGTTATATCATATTAATTGGTCAAAACGAACGTAATACATAATAATTTTTGTTGTTAATAAATATTCCCAAGTGCTCTTTACAAGAATCGAACGCTTCTAGTGGTTCTCAAGCTGAGAAGGATGACAAAGTATAAAAGTCTTTATCTTTATAGAAGAAGATAAAAGCTGACATACGGACTAATCATTATCTTGTAAAAATTATATTTAGAATCTTTTCTTGATGTGAGTGAAAAAATGTATGTGTTATTAAACTTTACTAAATTGAACTAGATTTCTACGTATTTTTCGCTATATCCTTCTCTTTTATTAGGACCTGGATGTTAAAGTTATACTTGTTACAATTATTAATATTCCAATCGATATTTTAAGAACAAATTAAAAAGTTATGCTTATTTTAAATACAACATTAATGTATCATTTATGATGAAGAATACTTTGATCAAACTTTTTTTATTTTATTACCAGTAGTTGTGGGAATATAAGTTAGTAAATTATTGAGATTATTTGCTGTTTCACCAAGCATATAAATTACTTGGGTGGTTTGCAATGGGCAGAATTACACTTAAATTTATCTCGGAAATGATATAACTAGATCTATAACAAATACTAAATCTCTATATTAAAATTAATAAAAATTTGATTTTAAAGGTATGTTTATAACATTCATTCAAATCATTTAAAAATTTAGAAGGTTATATATTTTTTTATAATTATACGGCAGTATGAATCTGCAATCTCTAAAATCGCTTTGTACCATACTAGCAATTTTCCAAAAAGTATGATGTACTATGCGGTCAAACCAAAACTAGAAATTGGAAAAAATCTTTGTAATACTAACTGAATTTTAAAAAAACAATAATAAAATCGTAGTCGATTATTATTTTTGAATTAACTATATTTGTATAACACATTTTCAAAAATTGTTACAAAATACTTTGTTAGCTGAAATCTACAATAAGCGAATAAAGTCGTATTAACCTTGTGACTTCAATGTCCTTTTTTTTAACAAATCTGGTACTATGTGTGGGAAGGGAGGTATCAGGTGTAATAAATTCAAAATTCGCTTGCGACATTATAAACAAAACATGTATATTTTCAAGTTAAATTTAATAAAAAGAAAGCACTTTATATAAAAATTATTAATCAAATGCATATATAATAATATAAAGTATTTGTCCTTCAATAAAAAAAATGATTTTATTTTTTGAAATAAAAGTTTTGTTAATTTTATTTTAATATTATATAATCACGTGCGTGTCATGATTAACTGATTTACATGGTCATATGAATTACGCCTTCAAATGTGATACAAAAAATTAAATTATGATCAACTATAAAGTCGATAAATGCATCCCTTAATTTTTCTTTTATTAAAAATGAACACAAATAAAGAGTGGATTAATACAAAGATTAATGATGGTGACATTACTTGTTTCGAATATGATAAGCTTAGCAATTTAAAAGAAATATGTAAAGGAGTCTTGTATAGAGCGGATTTGGATAGCAAAGGAATTCAAATCGCATTGAAAACAACCTCATATCGTAACGCAACAATTGATAAGTATGACTTTGCAGACCTTGTCAAAGAAGTATGAATATATTTTTATGAAAATGTTGATTGTACCGGATATAAAAACATTAAAAATTATTGTTTCACCCTTTGTATAGATAAATTTACTTCGTATATTTCATTATCATCCAAATATCAATCACTTTATTGGAATGGCAGTAGGTTCGTTCAAAGTTTCCTATTTTTCTAAATAACTTATCTTTTCAAATCTCTAAATATAATTTCTTTGTGTTTAAAATGAATAGATGGTGATGGTAATTACGCAATGTTATTGGAATATGCTAATATGGGCAATTTAAGAGATTATTTAGGAAATAAAAGAAAATTTAGCTCATTACAATGGAAAGACAAGATCAAAATGGCATTAGATATTACTTCAGGATTGTTATGCTTACATAGCGAAAACATAATTCATAGAGATTTGGTAAAAACCGTATATAATTATTATCATATTATTATAAACTATTTAAAATTATTAACCATAAATATAAATTTTTTAAAGCATTCAAAAAATATACTGGTTCATAATAATCGATTGATGATCGCAGATTTTGGATTATCTAAGATTATAAGTGATGAAATTTCAACAAATTCAGACTTTGGAGGATTGCCAGAATATATTGATCCACAATGTTACATACAAGAAAATTATATAAGAAACAAGAAATCGGATATATTTAGTCTAGGCATTCTATTATGGGAGATCACAAGTGGACGCCCCCCGTTTTCGAATATTGATAATAGATTCACATTGATCTATCAACTTATTAATTCTCAAATTAGAGAAGAGCCAGTAGAATCTACACCTCTAAAGTACCAACAACTTTATCAAAAATGCTGGAATGAGAATCCAGCATTAAGGCCTGAGAGTAATGAAGTTAACGAAAGTTTAAATCAATTGTTGAAATCAAGATTTATAAATGAATTTAAAACGGCACTTATTATAGAAGATATTAATAAAATGATAAAAGTTGGTGAAATTTCTCAATTCGATTATAGTGAATTTAGCAATTTTGAAGAAATAGGTAATGGAAGATACAACGACTTGTATAGAGCGGATTTGGCTAGCAGGGGAATTCAAATCGCATTGAAAACAACCTCATATCGTGACGCAACAATTGGTAGGAATGACTTTACAGACCTTGTCGAAGAAGTATGAATATATTTTTATGGAAATGTTGATTGTACCGGATATAATAACATTAAAATGATTATTTCACCCTTTGTTTAGATAAAATTACTTCGTATATTTCATTACCATCCAAATATCAATCACTTTATTGGAATAACAATAGGTTCGTTCAAAGTTTTCTATTTTTCTAAATGACTTATCTTTTCAAATCTATTATTATAATTTCTTTGTGTTTAAAATGTATAGATGATGATGGTATTTACAAAATGTTATTGGAGTATGCTAATATGGGCAATTTAAGAGATTATTTAGGAAATAAAAGAAAATTTAGCTCATTACAATGGAAAGACAAGATCAAAATGGCATTAGATATTACTTCAGGATTGTTATGTTTACATAGCGAAAACATAATTCATAGAGATTTGGTAAATACCGTATATAATTATTATCATATTATTATCTATTTAAAATTATTAACCATAAATATAAATTTTTTAAAGCATTCAAAAAATATATTGGTTCATAATAATAGATTGATGATTGCGGATTTTAGATCATCTAAGAAGATTATTGAAGTTTCAACAAGTTCAAAAGTTGAAGGATTGCCAGCTTATATTGATCCACAATGTTTCATGCAAGAAAATTATATAATAAACAAGAAATCGGATATATTCAGTCTAGGCATTCTATTATGGGAGATCACAAGTGGACGCCCCCCATTTTTGAATATTGATAATAGATACACATTGATCTATCAACTTATTACTTCTCAAATTAGAGAAGAGCCAGTAGAATCTACACCTCTAAAGTATCAACAACTTTATCAAAAATGCTGGAATGAGAATCCAGCATTAAGGCCTGAGAGTAATGAAGTTAACGAAAGTTTAAATCAATTGTTGAAATCAAGATTTATAAATGAATTTAAAACGGCACTTATTATAGAAGATATTAATAAAATGATAAAAGTTGGTGAAATTTCTCAATTCGATTATAGTGAATTTAGCAATTTTGAAGAAATAGGTAATGGAAGATTTGGTATTGTGAATAGAGCGGATTTTGTCAGCAGAGGAATTCAAATTGCATTGAAAAGTCTCTTAAATAGAAATACAAGAATAAATAAGGATGTCATTGCAGATCTTGTCAAAGAAGTATGTTTAACTGTCTTCATTTCATGAAATTTTTGATTGTTTCAGACAGCGTCTGATTTATGATAAATTTATTTGGTTAGTTAAATATCCATATTCATCCAAATATCTTTCAATTTATTGGAATAACTGTGGGTTTGTGTCAATTTTCTTAATGTCTTGAATAATTTTCTTTTTAATCCAATAAATATAATTTCCTTATGTTTAAATGAATAGATAATGATGGGGACTATAAATTGGTATTGGAATATGCCAATGGGGGGAACTTAAGAAATTATTTAGGAAACAAAATTATCTTTAATTCATTAAAATGGAAAGATAAGATTCAAATGGCACTGGACATAACTTGTGGATTATCGTATTTACATAAAAATGAAATAATTCATGGAAATTTGGTAATTATGTATTTAATATATAATCATATTATTATAAACGATTTAAATATTTAATCATTAAATATAAATTTTTAAAAGCATTCAAAAAATATATTAGTTCATAATAATAGATTGATGATCACGGACTTTGGATTATCTAAGAAGATTAATGAAGTTGCAACAAGTTCAAGATTTAAAGGATTGCCAGAATATATTGATCCACAATGTTACATACAAGAAAATTATGAAAGTAACTACAAATCAGATATATATAGTTTAGGTGTTCTATTATGGGAGATCACAAGTGGACGGCCCCCGTTTTCGAATATTGATGATAGATACACATTAATAAATCAACTTATTAATTCTCAAATTAGAGAAGAGCCAGTAGAGCTTACACCTCTAAAGTATCAACGACTTTATCAAAAATGCTGGAGTGAGAATCCTAATAAAAGGCCGAATATTGAAGAAGCTTATGAAGGTTTAATGCGATTAACGCAGATTATTGAGATCGAAAGTATGATTGAAGATGAAGTCATTACTTATTTTGAATATAGTGATCTTCACAATATCGTTAAAATTGGTAGTGGAGGGTTTGGTGTTGTGAGTAAAGCGGATTTTGCAAGTAGAGGGATTAAAGTCGCATTGAAAAGCTTTTTAGCAGTGGAAAAAAATAATGATGATTTTACCAGAGAAGTATGCATGTATTGTACATACTGCCTGCATTTATAATTTTATATTTTCCATAATTTTTTAACTTATAAATAATAAAATTAGGTGAAACTCCTTCGTAAATTTCATTATCATCCGAATATCAATCGTTTTCTTGGAATAACAAAAGGTTTGCATTATGGATATTATCAAACATTCATAGTTTACCTTAAATTCGACATATTTTTCTTAATATTTAAAATTAACAGATTCTGATGGGTATTATATCATGGTATTGGAATATGCTAATGAAGGAAACCTGAGAGATTATTTGGGAAATGAAAACATATTTAAAATGTTACAATGGAAAGATAAGGTTCGAATGTCATTGGATATTGCAAGCGGATTGATGTGCTTACATAAAGAAGAGATTATTCATAGAGATTTGGTAACTGATTTATTTGATTTTTAATTCTGCTATTTGGTAATAATTTAATAATATTTCCAAAAATTTTTATAGCACTCAATGAATATCCTCGTAAATAATGGTAAATTATTACTTGCAGACTTTGGATTATCTAAACATGTGGCAGAAACAACATCTAATTCAAAAACTGCAGGGTTTGGAATGATTGAGTATATTGATCCACAATGTTACAAGCATCAAGAATTTAAAAGAGGAAAAAAGTCCGATATATTTAGTCTAGGTGTTATTTTATGGGAAATAACTAGTGGACATCCTCCATTTTCGGATACTCCACGGCATTTGGTTAACTTTACAATATTTTCTAAGAAAAGAGAAACCCCAGTTGAAAATACACCTTTGGAGTATAAACAACTTTATCAAGAATGCTGGGATGAGGATCCTAATAAAAGACCGAACATTGAAGAAGTTTATAGAGGATTAAAGCAATTGGAATTTATATTTTATACAAATGAAATTCATTTGATGCAAAGTGCAGAAAATTCAGCAATCACTGCTTATGATAATAGTGTGGAAATTATAAATTTCCTTGGGTAAAAAATATGTGAGATTTGAGTTTAATATGATAGATTTGTCTATCTAGATAATTCGTAAATTAAATATAATAAATTATTGAAATAATTTAATTATTCAGAATTATCCCTGTTTTCCTTCCAAATTTGCCTGCAATTTAACTTAGTAACAAAAGTCAATTAGAAGTAATATCTTTTTATATAAATTTCTAATTTTTTTTTTTTATAAAAGAAATTTTCTATTTATAAAGACCGAATTTAATATTTTTATCGATATTATTAAAATCATATTAAGGCATCTAACATTTTATATTTATATATTATATCAATTAATTGGCGCTAATAACACAACGCAATTCATTATCTTGATATACTTCATGCCACAAGTCTATAGATAATTATACAAATATATATCAATTTAAAATATATAGATTAACTGACCAAGTCTTGCAATATTTTCATTGAGGTGTATTCCATTTGCAACGAAGATTTCGAAATTTTAGATGCAAATAATTGTCGGGTATATAGAAAACCGGTACGGAACGATTTTGCAGATCGGGTAAAGTTGTATCGTAAAAACGATTCGTACCGTACCGGCGGTTTTCTATATATCCATAATTATCCATCGTAAATGTAGATGGACAATAAAAAGTAAATTAGATGAATAAATAATATTATATGAAATATATCTTGTCCCTTCACTACTATGAAAAATAACCTAAAATATTAAAATGAATGCAAAATAGAAAACTTGTTACATATACTGGAAAACCAACGAAGTTATTAAGAAACCAACCCCATAAAGAAAATTTTAAATCGATGACTGAACCTAAAACTAAAAAAACTAGAATAAACAACTTAGTAATATTGCAGCAACGATCTAATTCGAAGAATAAAAAACTTAAGGGAGTAAATTATTTAAAGTTTCAAAAAAAATAAGTTTTAATTAAAGTAAGCATATCAGATATAGTGTCAAGGCGATATTTAAAGGAATATTGTGCCACATTTCTATACAAACCAAATTTTCTTATTTGATAGCCGCAAATGTTATCCTAATACATATTGGGTAAGTGCTGAGAAAAAGAGAACAAATTGTAAACAAAAAAAAATTTAAATAATAAACATTTGCACTTAATTTATTTATTGAAAAAAAAAAATTATTCAATTATATCCCTTTCATTATTCATCCACACATTCTCACCATTTATGGCGCTCTAATCGTAGTAAGTTTGCAATTTGCTATTTTTTATAAATTTTCAGTCCAATGTTGTTGTCATTGATTATGTACTTCAAATTATTTTTTATCATATTCAATATTTTGTGTTAATAGCAATAAATCATACAATATCAAAGTGTAAGCTTATTCGATTCGCGTACAATATTTAACAATTTTAAAACTGTGTTATTTTTTATTGTATAAAACCTCTAGCCAAAATGAACACTTGACTTGACTTTGTCCCCTGGAAAATTTTCTAATTAATTATAAAAGCAATTACCTTTTGATCGATTGTAAAGTTATTATTTTCAATAGAATAATTAGTCGCAACTATATTATTGAATAAACCTAACATCAGAAGTACAGAGCACTGATTATACTATACTTACATAATTTAAATAAATTCTACTTTCAATATAAATGTAAAGAACTAGAAGTAATAACAATAAGTTCAAATATTTAATAATATTTAAAATTATTGGCTTTTTGTAATGATGATAATTTAAATAATAGTACTAAAAAAAAGTAAGGATTTCATTTTGAAAGTTGAGAATTAGCCAAAAAAAAGAAGCCATAGTACGTTAGCTCCACTTATCTTTTTTTTTAATAAATTTAATTAAAATTTGGCTCGTATTAAAATTTTAACATAAAAATTAAAATAGAACTTTACAAGGTTTATTTTTCTATTATTTTCGCGAGGTATGTTGTTTTGTTAAACATACCCAGCAAAATGTAACATAAAATGTAACGAAATAATAAAACTGATTTTATAAACATTCTCATTATATAAAAATTTTCAATCATACAAGCTTTGTGAACAGATGACAGTCATTAATACTTCTACGCTTACGCTTCGGACAATAACTTTTGACTAACTTCTAATATTTCGATCATTAAAATAGTTTAATTTACTGTATGTTACAATGAGATTTTGTATGAATACTTTAAATTAAATTTTCGGTTTATCAAAATTTTTGAGCTCAAAAGTTAAGTTATACATAACTAAAATTATAAATTACCGCAGAATCTGATCATCACATTTCATTTGATTTGTACCACTATGTACGGAAATTAGATCCAAATTTGGTCACGATAATTCCCTTTTATAGCCATTTTTTTTTTTAAAAAAAAAAATCATGGACGTCTTTGAAAATGAAGTTAACGTCCTAATAGGATCTAAATTCAACAAATAAATGTCTCGGAAAATAAACAATGCTCTTATTGTGATAAACCTTTTACAGAGAAATTATGGTGTAAAGAATGTGATCCCTGTTGTATAGTTGAAGGTTGGACTAGTGGAAATTCTGATATTGATAAATTCATCAAAGATACAATATATCGTGCAAGAAATAATATTTACGAAAGATATCTTGAATGGGTGCCTTTTGATAGGTTCACAGACATAAAAGAAATTGGTGAAGGAGGATTTGCCAAAGTGTATTCTGTAACATGGATCGATGGTAAATCGGAATTTGAAAAGCAAGATGATGGAAGTTGGAAAAAATTAGATTCTGATCCTATGACGGTTGCTTTGAAAAGGTTAAATGGATCACAAAATATGTCAACCGAATATTTTAATGAGGTATTTTACATTTACATTTGATATTTATTAAATAAAATATTTCTAATTTTCTTAAATTTTTAGCTAAAAACACATGGGATATATATATAAACGATGATGAATCATTAGCATTTTATGGAATAACTAAGGATCCAGAAACCAAAGAATTTATCATGATCGTGCAATTTTTATCTAATGGAAATCTGAGAAGTTTTCTTTCAAATAATTTTAACAATATTTTATGGGAAGAAAAAATTAAAAAATTATTTTTTATTATTCGTGATCTTAAATTTTTACATGATTTAAGATATTGTCATAAGGATTTTCATAGTGGAAATATCTTGCAAGGAAATAATAATTCTTATATTTCAGATTTTGGATTAACAGGACCAGCAGACAAGCAAAAATCAGATGATCGAATATATGGAGTATTACCATATATCGCTCCAGAAGTCTTGAATGGAGAACCATACACTTTTGCTTCTGATATCTACAGTTTTGGTGTAATTATGGCCGAATATTCATCTGGAAACCCTCCCTTTTATGATAGGGAACATGATTATAAATTATCTTTAGATATTTGTAATGGACTTCGTCCTGAATTTGGAAAAGGAACTCCTGAATTTTATAAGATATTAGCTTATAGGTGTATGAATGCAAATCCAAATCAAAGACTAACGAGCGATGAATTGTACGATATATTGGATTTTTGTTATAGTTCAACTAATTATTATGAGAGTTATAAAGATATTAAAACTAAAGCATATGGATATTATTCAAAGGAAATAAAAGAAGCATTTGAAGAAGCTGATAAAGAGATACCAAATATTTCAATTTCACGGAAAACAAATCCTGATGCTGTATATACAAGTAGAGCACTTGCCTTTAAAAATTTGACAAAACCTATTAATTCGTCTCTTATTACTTCATATCTTGAAAAGGATGACAATAATGAAGGTGAACTATATTTAATTTTTAGTTTGCGGTATTTAGGATATTTTCTAATTTTGTTAAATTTTCAAGATTCTAAATTAGTTGATTTAGAAATTCCATAGCTCATTGCAATTATGTCGTAAGTTAATATTAAATTTATTATAGACATCAATTAATTAAAGGTTTTTTTTTATATTTAATTAAATATTTGTTAATGAGAAGCTTATAAAAAATATAAGCTCAGTCGTAATGATTGGACAATAATTTTAGTTCACATGAAAGTTTTACCATTATTAATATTATTGAAATAACTATTCTCAGTATAAATTTTAAAGTATATCTTTAGAAATTTCACAAAATTTAGACATACACCTGATGTTCATTTAAAAGTTTATATCTTTAAATAATTTTTATATATTTTTTATTTGTTTTTATTAATAAATTAAAAATACATCATTTTTAGAGTTATAATGACGCCTTTAACAATATAAATCTGATCAGGTTGCATATTAAAAAGTTTAAGATTATTTATATAAAATAAAAGTAATACAATTATTGTTACATTCCTTTATTAAAAATAGCGTTTGTGAATATGCATTTTTTTTCGCGTTCGATAGCTTTACCTTTTGTAAAAAATTATATTAAGATTAAAAATATGTCTTTATTAACAAAGTTACGGAGCAATTTTTCACATTGGATGTAAAATACTTAAAAAAATCAGACCTGTTACTTTGTAAATGTATGTTTAAGAAACTATTGTATACTAAAATGGTAAGTGATATATTATAGTATTAAATTACGTTATTGACACAAAATAATAATTATGTAAAAAATAGAAACCTGATATAGTTTCACATGATACTATTCAATTATAATTCACTCACACTTTAATTGAGGATTATTTATGAGTTTTTTAATTTCTAGTTAGAACTCTCTACAAATCGGTCGTTCAAACTTCCTTTTGTAACGCTTTCTATCAAAAATTTAACTAAGCAAATATTGAAAGGCTTTCTCTACGCCATCTGGGTACAAAATCAAAGGTTATGCAAAAAAATAATTGAGCTTCCTGGCGATGATTTTGTTGACTTTCTTGATGCAATTAGAAATTAAGAAAGACTTCCATGTAGTAAATCAACACTGACTTACGTGTCATGTCAAAAAGAAAATAATAAATATAAGTCAAATAACACAATTTTATTGATGATTGTCAAGGTGATTTCTCCGAACTTGTCAATTTATTTGAGAAAGTAAAAAAACCTATGTGACTTATAATTATTATAATCGTATAATTTTAATTTACATATCTATTGTGATGTTAGCATACTTGTGCTTTTTTTAAAGTGTTCCTGTAGATGAAATACTTTGCATCATATTAATTATCAACACAACGCGTAACTCATTTGCTGATTAGTAAATATCACGTGTATATTTTACAAAATTCTTCAACTAGTTCTCAAACCGAAGTACATATTCATGGCAAAGGAAAAAATATGACTTGGTTAATGAAAGGTTGAATGTATTACATTTTGTAATCGATTCGTAATGAGCGTGAAAAAAATGTTCCAGGTACGTGTCTTGTAATTATTGTGATCAAATAATATTTGTAATATTAACTAACTAGTGCACATGCCTGTAGTGATTACCATACATCATAATAATTGGTCAAACGAACGTAATGCATTACAAGTTTTGTTGTAAAAAAATAATTATCACTACAAGAACTACTGGTTCTTATGCTGAGAAAGATGACAAAATATTCAAGTCTTTACCTTAATGGAAGATGAAAATATATGAAAGATGAGCTAATCAAAATTTGTAAGAATTACATGAGCGAGAAAAAAAAGTATGCATAATTAAACTTTATCCGTAATCGTACAAAATTCTCAAACTCAAAATCCCGATGGTTCATTATCCCGAAAATTTATTATTGAAATTGATGATCATGTAACAGCGATTTTTTTAAGTTAATCATGATCGTTCAGCTTTACATAATAAAAACTTTTATTTTTGAATAAGCTACTACGAATTTTTTTTTATATTTAAAACAATATATACTTTATTTATAATGTTATTTACAAGAAGTTCTATTAAAAAACCAATATATATTCAACTTAAAACTTTGAAATAACTTTTTTTCAAGGAATTTCAGAAAATCACAAAAAAACATATGGAAGAAATATAGGAATCAGAGTTGAGTTACCATAGTAAAAGTTGTTCCTTTACTCATGAAAAGGAACAATATAAGTGCACATTTGAGGTGGAGTGCAGTATATTTGTATTATGATGGGTTTTCTTTAAAAAAAAATTTGGTTTATTGAAAATTAGCGCTCCTACTGTTACAAGAGTAATGAAATATTTTCAAAGTGGAGATGTATTATAAACCCATTGAAAGACAAGACAGGCTGATAAAAGAAAGATTTTAATGGATCTAATATGAAGATAATATTTTTTAATTTATTAATTATTATATATTATGTTGTATATGATATTTATTAAAACATAATTTTTTTTTTTTTTAGATTTTAAGTAAAATAATAACAAAGCATTCTGATTACTATTTAGATGAAATTGTTAGAGAAATTATTAGGATGATTAACAAAGACTATGTTCCTAAAAATAAAAATAAAATAATTATTTATAATCATGAAATGTTGCGTGGACTAACATTACGCGAATATCATCACGAAACATCATCACGAAATGTCACGCGAATGAAACCTTACAACTGATGCAGCCCAAATACTCATTTATTTGATAATAGTTTCCCATTTTCCTACACTGTTTTTACCCTCTCCTAATTATTAATTTATTATAATTTAAATGAAATTTCCATGTATTCATCTTCAGATTCTACAATTTCAGAATTATCTACTTCAACTTCAACATCCAATTCTAAATCATCTTTTATTTCAATACCAAAAATTTTATCGCCTCTTCATTATTTCATTCTATTCATCAGATTTTTCTCAAATTATACTTTATTAATTTCTTCTACTTCATCAACTTCATCATCATCATGGTTCTCATCATCATCATATCATTTTCATCAATATCATTGTCATCATTATTAATTATTTCTCCAGAATTTTTAGCTGAAGAATTAGATCTAGTTAGCCTTGATGCTTGTTATGATTTGTATGATTTGTGTAGATTTACTGGAATGGTCTTTGTTGTTTGAGATTTTTTTAAGTTGACATAAACTATATTTAAATTTTTGAGAAAAATCCATTCTATATAAATAAATTCTATTAGCTTCGCTTAATTTTGGCAATTGTGTTTTGTATTTAAATCATACACTATGAAGCAACATTTTCTTTTTTATTGTATTTCTTATTCATTGACAGTATTTAAAAGTTAATAGTTTATTATAATTTAAACATATTTACCACAAAAAACAAGTGACAATTTGTTATATTCTTGAAAAGGGCACTTTTTTCTTAGACATTATAACAAATATAATGAACGCGATACAAAAATTCTCTACAAAATCTTGTGTTATGCAGTGATTGGTTAATTGCCAATTTCAATAATTTCGAAAATCCCAAATAATACAAAAATTTCATTAGTTCGAAGAAACGTTATATTAAAATTTATATGGTCGAAAAAAATTAAAAAAAATTCAATATAGCGATGAAGAAATTAAGGTATTGAGACTATTCGCGAAAATCCGGGTGTTTAAACTGTTCCTCTTCTCAATAATTCTGCTTTGGCTTGCACTTATAATCTTTAATTTCTAATTTAATAAAAGGTGTGTTTCGAGATTATGACATTGCGGGTTTTAGGGAGTCGAGATAATGAACCAGGATTTTGAGCTTCGATCAAATTAAGGGTTGACTACAAAAGTCTGCATATGTTTTAATTAATCGAAAAATCGAATAAATTAAATTTTTAGTAACGCAGTAAGTGCGGCATAAAGAAAATTTTAAGTGATCATTTGCTTATTTTGAAATAAATTTAATAGTGAATGATCAAAAAAAAAAAAAATATATAACGTACCAGAAAAATAGGGAAAAAAATATTTAAATTATATATAATATAAAATAGATTAATCGAAACTGAAAATCGTTTCATGACATGATTTCTACACGACCTTCACAATTTTGAAAATGCGTAGTATAAATATAGTTAATACTCGACTACGAGTAAACTAACCTACTTTTCTAATTTGTCATTTAAAGTTGTGAAAATGTACTATAGATTTTTTGTGCATTGCATACAACACTATTCCATTTAAAATATATATAAGATACATTCAAGCATGTACATAATCTTCACAATCGAAAAATATAATTCTACGTAACTAAAACTAAAATCAAATGCAATTACCATACCATTTAGTATGAACCACAAAGAATTTTTCGAATTCCTAGTTTCGGTAAGTACAATACGAATCGTTTGTACATCGGTATATTTTCGGTATTCTTTAAATGGTGACGTTTGGGCTACAACAGGTATATCAAGTTTTTTAATAGTAGCTCGGTATATAGAATATCAGTATATCGAGGTCCGATTATAATAGTATTATTCTATTATCTATTTTTGTTATCTAATTCTTTTCTAAAAAAAAAAAATTTAAAATGAATGATTTTAACATGAGCAAAAAAAAGAAAATTCATAATATCAATAATACAATATTGATGATACTGTTTATTTATTATTTTTATTACATTAGTTTTATTTGTTAATATGTCTGCTAGTAAATTGAAACAACGATGATCGGGAATTCAATCTAGAGAAAAACAGAGAAAATAACAAGTCGTCGTAAAAGTTTTCCTCAAGTGATTTTTCTAGTTTATGATGATATCTCTAAAGAAAAGCTTGTAGAATTCCAAATTAATAAAGCTGTTTATTTTACCCTTTCAATCTTCTTCGTGTCTTCATAAAGGTATTGATGTGATAACTAGCTACACTAGCGAATCGTAATAATTAAATACTACATAAATTATACATCAGACGAATTAAATAAAAAATAAATAAGTTTTTGTTGACTTGTGAAAGCAAGGAAATTCAGATCAACACCGGTTAAGGTAGTAAATAGTTTGTATTGTAAATTCCTTTAATTGATCGACATTCGCGTTATATTGATACATCGTTCTGATAAATATCTTAATTAATTTTAACTACCTGCCTTGAGGTTCACATTTCAATACTTTAAGAACAAAACCAGGGCTGTTATAGATAATTCATACTGACTAAAAAAAATATATAGAGAAAGATAAAAAGAAAAGGATAATTTTAATGCATTTATATTTATTATAAAGAAATTGGATATCTAAATTTGTATCAAAGATTTAAATAGCGCATAAATTTAGACAAATATTAAGTATATTACAGTGCTTCGAAAGAGAATTAATGATATATTTTATTACATAACTCAATACTATAATTTTTTTACTTTATTTTTTATTTTTTAAAAAAAGAAATTTATGAATAAATATCGGGCAAAGTCAGGTAATATAGATCTGTTATATTGATATAGCTTAATTTAAAATCATGAAAAATGATAGTACTAAAACTTGGATGAACCTTTTTAATTCCTATAGAAAAGCAGCTAATTTTATTGATTCACCCAAAAATATGGATGATCTTTGAAGAATTTCAAGTAAATAAAATTTAAAGATTCGAATTTTTTGTTACATTATAAATTCTATAGATACAAAACTAATTCCTTTAAAAGAAAATACATCGAAAAATCAAGGTATTATATTAAATATATATTAATTTTTTTTATACAAATATTTAATAAAATATTAAAAATTTACCTATTTTATAGGTTTTATTTCTACTTTCATCAAAGTCAACATTCAATCGAAATACAAGAACATAAAGAAATTAAAACACCAAAAGAAATGCCAGAAAATATTTATATTCATAATTGTAATAGTGTAAGATTAGAAGTTTTAATTAAAGTACTAAATAATATAAATTAAAATATCTATAAAACAGAGCTAATCATTGAAAAAGCTTGTTATCATGAAAAAACTAGCTAAAAATATCCCGGGAGAAAATATGTTTACATGCATAATTAATAAAATTACAATGGATTTTATCAGGATATAACATTAAAATTTTCATATATGAAATAATATATTATTAAGCTGAAAAATATTTACAAAAGAAAATTTTTTCTTAATATTATAATTTTATATAATTTACTTAATAATCTTCTTATTCATGATATGCAAAAAAATTTATTATCGCAGAAAATTGTAGAAGATTTCTAATAAGTTTGTTCAAGAGTTAGACTTTGTAGAATAGCTATTGGAGTATTTAATTTTTAATGATATAGGATCGATATTCATTAAAGAATCGGGTAAATTTGGTAGGATAGTTATTTTAGTACCATAGCAATAGAGTTTCATTAAGGAGTTGGGTAATGTTGGTAGGATAGTTATACTAGTATAAGAGCAATAAAGTTCCATTAAGGAGTTGGGTAATGTTGGTAGGATAGTTATTTGAGTATTATGGCAATCGAGTTTTATTAAGGAATTGGGTAATGTTGGTAGGATAGTTATTTTAGTACCATAGCAATCGAGTTTAATTAAGGAGTTGGGTAATGTTGGTAGGATAGTTATCGGAGTAGAAGAACAATCAAGTTCCGTTAAGGAGTTGGGTAATGTTGGTAGGATAGTTATTTGAGTACTATAGCAATCGAGTTTCATTAAGGAGTTGGGTAATGTTGGTAAGATAGTTATACTAGTATAAGAGCAATAAAGTTCCGTTAAGGAGTTGGGTAATGTTGGTAGGATAGTTATTTTAGTACCACGGCAATAGAGTTTTATTAAGGAGTTGGGTAATGTTGGTAGGATCTTTATTTTACAAGTCCTTGACAATTGGAGAGTTGTTAATTTTCGATATCTTTGTATTCCCCCTAAGGCGGTTAATATGTCCTTGTTAAGTTCCGTAATCATTAAACTTTCAATAGTATCATCATAAATAATATCTGATACTTCATGATCTACTTCTACTTTCATCTTATTGAAATGATGAATAATTTCGGAATTATTTGAAACATTATTATTCATTTGACCATTTAACTGATCAAATCGAAAAATTTGAGATAGTTCTCCAAATGAATTATTTATACCAGAATCAGCATCGATGTTATTCGAATGTTGAAGGTTTGGTTCATATTTATTCGTTAGACTATTTTCTTTTATGCTGGTTATCGTAATAATTGCATTTAACTTATCGACTACTTGACTCATTGATGGACGATTATCTGGCTCGTTATCCCAGCATCCTAAAAACATAAAATTTAAGACAATTAATTTCTTTGAAAAAATATTTATGTTTATATAATAATATATTTACCAGTATAAATGATTACATAATCTTCGGGTGTATCAGGAATTGTTCTTTCCCTAAGTCCTTGTAAAATCGCGATAGCTAAACCAATGTCATAATCTTCACCTTTAACATAAAAGGGAGGATG